CCGCTCTCTTTGGGAGAACAGCGTGGGGACTCAGCAGCGCATACACGGCTAGTGACCACAACGCCATCATCTGCAGCATCGAGGCCCACCCACAAGGGACAGCTCTCCAACCAAGGACGACCTTCAATGCCAGAACCCTCAGGCCGGATATCTTCTTGTCGGAGCTGAGCATTCCCGAGGCCCCGGGAACCGCAGAGGACTGCGCAACGAACCTCATCGGCGCATTGACAACGGCATGCAGGGCAAGCACAAGGCAGCAAAGAAGCCACTCTCGCCACCGCGAGCCGGTCTTTTGGTGGAGCATGGAGATTTCCGAGGCTCGCACCGAATGCATTCGTGCTAGAAGACGCCAAACTCGCGCGAGGGGATCCCAAGCCTTCCCATTGATGTCCCAGGAGTACGCAGCGAAACGCCGTGCTCTTAAAAGGCTTATCAGAGGAAGCAAGAGGGCCTCGCCTACAAGGTGATAGTCAAGAAGCTTAACGCGGTGAAGCCCCTTACCAAGGCTGACCCCGTTAAAATGAAAACCATCGTCGAAAGCCTCTTCCCTACCGTCGACCCAGCTGTCAGCCCGTCGCGAACTCCTTATCGCCACATCGGATGGAGCGACATAACGGCGAGCGAAATCCTGGAAATCGCTGGAGCAACCCCAACCGGCAAGGCGCCAGGCCCGGATGGCATCCCTGACACCGCAGTCAACCTGGCAATGACCGCGCACCCGTCGGATTTCGCGCAGGCTTTCAACATGTGCCTCCGTGAAGGAGTCTTCCCAACGCCTTGGAAGCTCCAGAAGCTAGTCCTGCTGCCGAAGCCTCAAAAGGAGGACCCCTCGTCGTACAGGCCCATCTGCCTAATCGACAACGTGGGCAAAGCACTGGAGCGCTGCATTTGCAGGAAGCTCCAAAAATTCGCAGGCAGGGACCTGTCCCCCATGCAGTTCGGTTTAGGAAGGCAAGATCGACAACTGACGCGATCCGCATAGTGACGGACATCGCGGCAAAAGCCATAAAGGGCACCAGGTGGCTTGGAGGGCGGAAGCAGTACTGCCTCGTTGTCACATTGGATGTCAAAAAAGCATTCAATTCGGCGAGGTGGGACGTCATCCTCAGGTCCCTCAGGCGGCTGGGAATCCCAGACTACCTGGTGGCCATTATCGAGGACTACTTTCGAAGCCGGAGGCTGCTGTACGACACAGACTGCGGCACCGTGGAGTACCAGGTCACATGCGGCGTTCCCCAAGGCTCTGTCCTCGGCCCGACCCTCTGGAACGTAATGTACGATGCTATCTTCAAGCTACAGCTCCCTGCCGATACTCGGACAATAGGCTTTGCAGACGACGTCGCGTTGGTAGTGGTTGCCAAGCACCTCGGAGAAGTGGAGGCCAGGTGCAACCAAGCGGTGGCCGTGATCCAAGAGTGGCTGACATCAGTAGGCCTAAGGCTGGCTGATCACAAGACGGAAGCGGTGTTGATTTCCAGCCGCAAGAAAGTGGAGGTTGCGACGGTGCGAGTCGGCTCCGTCGAGATCACATCCTCGCGAGCAATCCGCTACCTTGGGGTACTGCTGGACACTCGCCTCTCCTTCCGCGAGCACCTCGAAGCAGCCAGCAAGAAGGCAGCAGTCCTAGGCAGGGCCCTGTCACGCATGATGCTGAACACGAGGGGACCCAAACAAGGCCGCAGACTCCTGCTTCAGTCAGTCCGAAAGGCGGTCATGATGTACGCAGCCCCAATCTGGGCTGAGGCGGCGAGGATCAAGTCCTACAGGAAGGGGCTAGATGCGACGCACCGGGGAGCCCTGCGAGTTTGCTGCGGCTTTCGAACCATCTCGGAAGATGCGGCCCTAGTCATCGCCGGAATGCTCCCAATGGTTGACCTAGCCGAGGAAGCTAGGGAAATCTCGTTGGAATTGTTTTACGACCTAGACGCGCCTTCGAACCCACTCGACTTTGCCAGTCAGTTCCGGAAAAGAATGCAGGTGGTGAAGCCAACTCCAACTTCGCATCACAGCACACATAAACTCTTCCTGCTAAAAACATTCAAAATTGCTCACATGTCTTCGTCCGAACTGACGCGGTGAAACAACCCTTGGAGCCGCCGTACACGGGACCATACCCGATTATATCCAAGTCATCAGACCGGGCTTTCCTGATTCGGATTAATGGAAAGGAGACAGCCATTTCAATCGACCGGCTTAAGCCAGCATTTATAGCAAACGACGAGACCAGCCCTACGGAAGATCAGCAGTCGAATGTGCCGCGGACATATGCAAAAAAAAATCAAACCTTAAGATTTGGCACTTTTCTAGGGGAGTACTGTGGCAACCCGGATCGCGGCCCTCTGGCAGGGCCAGCAACAACCACGAGACGAGATGGCAGCTCCAGCAACGGACTCTCGAGAAGTTAGCAGCTTCAGCAACTACGACGACACGCGACCAGACATTGCAAAGTACACTCGTCGCATCATTCGCGAGTTCATCGCTATTACGCGCAATCCGCTGGTAGGCTGCCATGCGGATATCGTTAGGGGCGATATCCGGCACTGGGTGGCCACCATTCTCGGACCGTCTGACACTCCCTACGCGGGTGGTCAGTTCCACTTGGATATACGCTTTTCAGAGGAATACCCTTTTCTACCACCACGTGTGATCTTCACCACGAAGATTTATCATTGCAACGTGGACGAATTTGGAACTATAACGCGCATTGAGCATGTTTTTGTGGCCATCCAATTGCGGCTGGAAAATCAACCAAGGCGAAAGCAAATGGAAAAATTCTAAAATTAAATTAAATTTTGTATATTCGGTCTGTGCAAGAAAAAAACTGTGATAATGCCACCCGAGAGAAAGTTCGTGAAATTGATTTGGGTGCTGTGTCCGAGTTCGAGCTAGCCGAGCTTGAGGCCGATCTTGGGCCCATTCCTGTTCCCAGACCCATCATAGACATTGTCGTGATGCCCTTGGTTGACGGATACAGATATTGCCTGACAATGATCAACCGTTTTCTCGCTGTCGCCAGAGGCTGTGCCATTAAAGGATATGACTGCAGAGACCATTTCTGAGGCACTATGTTCTCGCTGGATTTCACGTTTCGGCTGCCCATTGACTATTACAACCGATCAAGGAGTTCAATTCGAGTCGGCACTCTTCAAATCACTGGCCAATATGCTGGGAAGCGAGCACATTCACACGAGCACATTCCTTCCGCGAGCACCTCGAAGCAGCCAGCAAGAAGGCAGCAGTCCTAGGCAGGGCCCTGTCACGCATGATGCTGAACACGAGGGGACCCAAACAAGGCCGCAGACTCCTGCTTCAGTCAGTCCGAAAGGCGGTCATGATGTACGCAGCCCCAATCTGGGCTGAGGCGGCGAGGATCAAGTCCTACAGGAAGGGGCTAGATGCGACGCACCGGGGAGCCCTGCGAGTTTGCTGCGGCTTTCGAACCATCTCGGAAGATGCGGCCCTAGTCATCGCCGGAATGCTCCCAATGGTGGACCTAGCCGAGGAAGCTAGGGAAATCTCGTTGGAGCTCGACGTTCCCGCTCAACATCGTTCCCCGGCAGATAGGAGACGTATAAAGACGGCAGCGAGGGAAAGAAGCCTAGCTAGGTGGCAGAACCGCTGGGCCACATCACAAAAGGGAAGATGGACTCATACCCTAATTCCGGACATCAGTAGGTGGGTCAACAGGAGGCATGGAGAAGTCAACTTTTGGCTAACCCAACTCCTAAGCGGGCACGGCTGCTTTAGAAGCTACCTCCATAGATTCGGGCACGACTACCACCACGTGTGATCTTCACCACGAAGATTTATCATTGCAACGTGGACGAATTTGGAACTATAACGCGCATTGAGCATGTTTTTGTGGCCATCCAATTGCGGCTGGAAAATCAACCAAGGCGAAAGCAAATGGAAAAATTCTAAAATTAAATTTAATTGTGTATATTCGGTCTGTGCAAGAAAAAAACTGTGATAATGCCACCCCGAGAGAAAGTTCGTGAAATTGATTTGGGTGCTGTGTCCGAGTTCGAGCTTGAGCCCGAGCTTGAGGCCGATCTTGGGCCCATTCCTGTTCCCAGACCCATCATAGACATTGTCGTGATGCCCTTGGTTGACGGATACAGATATTGCCTGACAATGATCGACCGTTTTTCTCGCTGGCCAGAGGCTGTGCCATTAAAGGATATGACTGCAGAGCCCATTTCTGAGGCACTATGTTCGCGCTGGATTTCACGTTTCGGCTGCCCCTTGACTATTACAACCGATCAAGGAGTTCAATTCGAGTCGGCACTCTTCAAATCACTGGCCAATATGCTGGGAAGCGAGCACATTCACACGACGCCATACCACCCCCAGTCAAATGGCATGATCGAGCGTTGGCACAGGTCTATGAAAGCCTCTTTGATGTGCCAACCGGATACACCATGGACCAAGCTGCTTCCGACCGTCATGCTGGGCCTCCGCACATGCTTCAAGGAGGACATTAAGGCATCAGCAGCAGAAATGTTATATGGTTGTACTCTACGCCTTCCAAACGAATTCTTTTACGACCTAGACGCGCCTTCGAACCCACTCGACTTTGCCAGTCAGTTCCGGAAAAGAATGCAGGTGGTGAAGCCAACTCCAACTTCGCATCACAGCACACATAAACTCTTCCTGCTTAAAAACATTCAAAATTGCTCACATGTCTTCGTCCGAACTGATGCGGTGAAACAACCCTTGGAGCCGCCGTACACGGGACCATACCCGATTATATCCAAGTCATCAGACCGGGCTTTCCTGATTCGGATTAATGGAAAGGAGACAGCCATTTCAATCGACCGGCTTAAGCCAGCATTTATAGCAAACGACGAGACCAGCCCTACGGAAGATCAGCAGTCGAATGTGCCGCGGACATATGCAAAAAAAAATCAAACCTAAAGATTTGGCACTTTTCTAGGGGGAGTACTGTGGCAACCCGGATCGCGGCCCTCTGGCAGGGCCAGCAACAACCTCGAGACGAGATGGCAGCTCCAGCAACGGACTCTCGAGAAGTTAGCAGCTTCAGCAACTACGACGACACGCGACCAGACATTGCAAAGTACACTCGTCGCATCATTCGCGAGTTCATCGCTATTACGCGCAATCCGCTGGTAGGCTGCCATGCGGATATCGTTAGGGGCGATATCCGGCACTGGGTGGCCACCATTCTCGGACCGTCTGACACTCCCTACGCGGGTGGTCAGTTCCACTTGGATATACGCTTTTCAGAGGAATACCCTTTTCTACCACCACGTGTGATCTTCACCACGAAGATTTATCATTGCAACGTGGACGAATTTGGAACTATAACTCTGGAAATCCTGGGTGAACATTGGTCACCGGTCACGCGCATTGAGCATGTTTTTGTGGCCATCCAATTGCGGCTGGAAAATCAACCAAGGCGAAAGCAAATGGAAAAATTCTAAAATTAAATTAAATTGTGTATATTCGGTTTGTGCAAGAAAAAAACTGTGATAATGCCACCCCGAGAGAAAGTTCGTGAAATTGATTTGGGTGCTGTGTCCGAGTTCGAGCTTGAGCCCGAGCTTGAGGCCGATCTTGGGCCCATTCCTGTTCCCAGACCCATCATAGACATTGTCGTGATGCCCTTGGTTGACGGATACAGATATTGCCTGACAATGATCGACCGTTTTTCTCGCTGGCCAGAGGCTGTGCCATAAAAGGATATGACTGCAGAGCCCATTTCTGAGGCACTATGTTCGCGCTGGATTTCACGTTTCGGCTGCCCCTTGACTATTACAACCGATCAAGGAGTTCAATTCGAGTCGGCACTCTTCAAATCACTGGCCAATATGCTGGGAAGCGAGCACATTCACACGACGCCATACCACCCCCAGTCAAATGGCATGATCGAGCGTTGGCACAGGTCTATGAAAGCCTCTTTGATGTGCCAACCGGATACACCATGGACCAAGCTGCTTCCGACCGTCATGCTGGGCCTCCGCACATGCTTCAAGGAGGACATTAAGGCATCAGCAGCAGAAATGTTATATGGTTGTACTCTACGCCTTCCAAACGAATTCTTTTACGACCTAGATGCGCCTTTGAACCCACTCGACTTTGCCAGTCAGTTCCGGAAAAGAATGCAGGTGGTGAAGCCAACTCCAACTTCGCATCACAGCACACATAAACTCTTCCTGCTTAAAAACATTCAAAATTGCTCACATGTCTTCGTCCGAACTGATGCGGTGAAACAACCCTTTGAGCCGCCGTACACGGGACCATACCCGATTATATCCAAGTCATCAGACCGGGTTTTCCTGATTCGGATTAATGGAAAGGAGACAGCCATTTCAATCGACCGGCTTAAGCCAGCATTTATAGCAAACGACGAGACCAGCCCTACGGAAGATCAGCAGTCGAATGTGCCGCGGACATATGCAAAAAAAAATCAAACCTTAAGATTTGGCACTTTTCTAGGGGGAGTACTGTGGCAACCCGGATCGCGGCCCTCTGGCAGGGCCAGCAACAACCCACGAGACGAGATGGCAGCTCCAGCAACGGACTCTCGAGAAGTTAGCAGCTTCAGCAACTACGACGACACGCGACCAGACATTGCAAAGTACACTCGTCGCATCATTCGCGAGTTCATCGCTATTACGCGCAATCCGCTGGTAGGCTGCCATGCGGATATCGTTAGGGGCGATATCCGGCACTGGGTGGCCACCATTCTCGGACCGTCTGACACTCCCTACGCGGGTGGTCAGTTCCACTTGGATATACGCTTTTCAGAGGAATACCCTTTTCTACCACCACGTGTGATCTTCACCACGAAGATTTATCATTGCAACGTGGACGAATTTGGAACTATAACTCTGGAAATCCTGGGTGAACATTGGTCACCGGTCACGCGCATTGAGCATGTTTTTGTGGCCATCCAATTGCGGCTGGAAAATCAACCAAGGCGAAAGCAAATGGAAAAATTCTAAAATTAAATTTAATTGTGTATATTCGGTCTGTGCAAGAAAAAAACTGTGATAATGCCACCCCGAGAGAAAGTTCGTGAAATTGATTTGGGTGCTGTGTCCGAGTTCGAGCTAGAGCCCGAGCTTGAGGCCGATCTTGAGCCCATTCCTGTTCCCAGACCCATCATAGACATTGTCGTGATGCCCTTGGTTGACGGATACAGATATTGCCTGACAATGATCGACCGTTTTTCTCGCTGGCCAGAGGCTGTGCCATTAAAGGATATGACTGCAGAGACCATTTCTGAGGCACTATGTTCTCGCTGGATTTCACGTTTCGGCTGCCCATTGACTATTACAACTGATCAAGGAGTTCAATTCGAGTCGGCACTCTTCAAATCACTGGCCAATATGCTGGGAAGCGAGCACATTCACACGACGCCATACCAACCCCAGTCAAATGGCATGATCGAGCGTTGGCACAGGTCTATGAAAGCCTCTTTGATGTGCCAACCGGATACACCATGGACCAAGCTGCTTCCGACCGTCATGCTGGGCCTCCGCACATGCTTCAAGGAGGACATTAAGGCATCAGCAGCAGAAATGTTATATGGTTGTACTCTACGCCTTCCAAACGAATTCTTTTACGACCTAGACGCGCCTTCGAACCCACTCGACTTTGCCAGTCAGTTCCGCAAAAGAATGCAGGTGGTGAAGCCAACTCCAACTTCGCATCACAGCACACATAAACTCTTCCTGCTTAAAAACATTCAAAATTGCAGGGCCAGCAACAACCTCGAGACGAGATGGCAGCTCCAGCAACGGACTCTCGAGAAGTTAGCAGCTTCAGCAACTACGACGACACGCGACCAGACATTGTTATCAAATATTAAGAAATAAAGAGTTATACTAAACGACAGATAGAGCGTACATTGGCCAAGCCGCCAAATCACTTTCTCGTCAGAGTGCATTTTTTTTCCGTTTTTTACAGCGGATTCATCAACCATGTTTTAGTTATTTTTCACACCCTCACGGAATATCTAGCAAATCGTTGTCTCTCCATCTCTATCAACCAGCCCGTGGTCTTCGCCCGTCGTGCTGAATAAAAAGCTTTGGAAAGTTAGGTTGTGTATCGACTGTAGGAAGGTAAACTCAGTTACCGTAAAGCAGCGATGCCCAGGCCCATTGCCCTCCAAACCCTTTTATTTTTGTAATTGCCCCCAGCATAGGAAACCAATTCTTGTATGCATACACAGTTTGTGCTGTGTACCAGAATACCGAAAGCCCAACACATGCAAACAAATTTGTGTGTATGCGATCCGTCCAGCAAAAACCGGTTTTGTCTCTTCTCTGATTGGTGTTACCTGACTTTTGTTATGATTTTGTTGTTGTCTTTTCTTCGAGATTTCACTGTTCCTTTATTCGTTTTTGTGTTTTTGTTTGGGAGTATTGGTGAGTGCCCTGCCGTAAGCTGACTTTGGGCATCGCTGCCGTAAAGGATGCTTATCCAATGCTTCTTATAGATGGAATTTTAAGTAGACTACCGAAAGCTGAGTTCGTCACAAGCATTGATCTAAAGGAGGCGTTTTGGCAGATTCCTCTCTATCCAAGTTGCCGTGACAACACCGCGTTCACTTTTCCTGGCCGTCCTTTATATAAATTTGTAGTTATGCCATTCGGCTTCACCACCGCACCCTGTATCATGTCGCGACTTATGGATAAACTTATTCCAGCCCATCTACGGAATAAAATCTTTATATTTTTAGACGACCTATTAGTTATATCAGCTATATTCGAACGCCATCTAGAGGTGTTTTCCCTTGTGGCCACTCAACTTTCTTCTGCCAATCTCACTATAAATGTTGAGAAATGCTAATTTTACCGAAAATAGGTTAAATACTTAGAGAACGTGATTGGTTGTGGAAACATTCACACTGATCCCGAAAAAATAGCTTCCGTTAGGGACTTCCCGGTGCCCCAGTCGATCAAACAAGTTCATTCACAATTATGCAGCTATCAGTGCACCCATATCAGATACTCTGAAATCTAAGCGCAAGTTCGACTGGACTGACGATGCTCAGATGGCATTCGAGTCCTTAAAGTCTCAAATGTGCTCCGCATCAGTTTTACATAGCCCAAATTTCTCGATACCGTTCTCTGAAACACTCGTTCTCAGAAGATTCCTGCTGGAAACTTTGGATCCCACCGACCGTTGTCGAAACAGCTCTTAAAGCCGCCCATGAGGATCCCTTACGTGCACACAGTGGGATAAATAAAGCACTCGAAAGACTCAGGCGATTTTATTATTGGCCCAGCTTGGTTGCAGACGTCAAAAAACCAGAGCTGGCAAGAAGTGGTCCCTTTTTGCAAGCAGTCATAAAAAACGAGAAGGAACGTGTGAGTCGTTTCTGGGGACACGACTCTACTTATACCCGTACTCAGTCAGTATTTACATTATTGAGCTTATGATTTTTTAGAATTTTAGAAAAAAAAAATTTACATTTTACATTTTTTTGCTACATCTGCTATCTACATCTACATATACAATGTCTATTCTACATCTAACATGTAGATTGTACATGTTCCATTCATATTCTACATCTCCTCCGCTAGGGGTTGCTCGCGCACTGAACGCGGCAGAGTGTGCGAGCGAGAAGGAAAATGAGTTGCGTTGTCGTGGGCGGGAGGGGGAGGGGAAGCAACTGAAAATTAATTTCTTCATTCTGGCTATAATTATGATCCGATCTGATTCAGATTCGGCAGTCTGGTAGATATGGTCATTCTCTACGATACTGCGTTTTTAGTTTTATCGTATCTTCAAAAATGTGCCTGCTACAGATTTTTGAAATACACTTGTAGCAGTGGGATATCACATGAGTCTGGAAACCAAATCGTTAGGTAGAAGCCCAGACCGGAACTACTGGGAGGCTCAGTGTCATTCTTCTCTCCTTTTTGCATCCTTGTCCCTTGACATTTGCTCCTAACAGCTGGTCTCTCGGCCCTCAGTGTTCCTTGATCGCCGCTTGGGGGCGTTTTAACGGCTTCGAGTACCCTTAACTTTGCCTGCTACCTATCTCTGCCGTTTGGGCCCTATCAGGTCTTTGCCTTCTCACCCTAGTTTGATAGAGATGCGCCGCTAATATTTTTAATATATGTATATACCTAACTGCCTTTTCAAAGCTTGGCGTTCCCTCACAGTAGAACGTTGGCAGTCAACACCAAGCTTTAATATATTACATATGTATATACGTATATATAAGCTTAAAGCTTGCCCTTCCCCTTCAAAACCGTACGGCTCTACGTTCGTTCTAAGTGCTGTTTGATCGGTGTCTACTTTTAGGGTGTACTATATATATACTGTATTAGTATATAGCTACTCGACCAAACGACCTATTACAGTCTTTTAGATAGATACGTGTGTAGTTATTTGTTTCTAACAAATAAAATCGTCTTTGTTTAATACTAATTAATACACTAAGTGCTAATAATGTATCCATAATAACGTTTGTATTTATATTTTTATTAAGTCAAGTGTTACGTCAGAGCCCGTGTCAACAAATGATGTTTCTTCCACAACAAGCAGAATCGATGCTTCCGAGGAACAGTCACTTCTATCATCATATTTAGATGATTTGCAACCAGTGCCTTAGTCAATGGAGAAGAAGTACCGGACAAATCGAAAATTTCAAATGTTGTTTTTGGCCGTTTACCACTAAATAGTGATATTAAACAATTTTATCACGACAAAAAGATTAAGTCTCCACAAATAAGTGAGCTGATACAGGTGGTGTTAGCCACACCGGCAACTCAGGTGTCGGTGGAAAGGTCGTTCTCAGCCCTTAATTTTATTTTAAATGAGAAGCGCACCTCTTTTACTCCCAAAAATATTAATTCAATATTAATTGTTAAGTTTGATTCTTAATTTAAGCAAATTTTTTGTTTTGTTATGAAGAAAATGTGGAAGTAAATATATGGATATTAAATCTTTTAAGTATAAATTTGTCTATGATTTCGTATTTATATTATCGTTCTTCGTTCTCCCTTCCTCTTCGACGCTTTGCCAGCGAGGAAATATATAGTAGCAAAAACAAATACCTAATGCAACTACAACAAAAAGACACTTCGTGCATGCACTTGGCTCGTTTTGCTCAGTGACTGATGCTCAGTTGCTGAGCATATTTTTCGAGCTCTGCAAAAAACTGATAAATAATTGCCATATCTTTAAGGCCACGAAGCATCCAAATCAACCCTTAAAGCCTACGATGGGAAATACGGGATCTTATCCGAGAAGTAGGTCAGGCAATATTGGTATCTGTGTCGATACGAAAATTTACCGCAGATTCAATAAAAAGCTATCTGGAAGAAGAGCTTTTCCACTGTTTTCGTATCCCAGAAACCATTGTATCTGACAATGGGGTTCAATTAAAATCTCAAACGTTTAACTCACTGCTTGACAAATAAAATATTTCTCATACCTATACTGTATTCTATTCTCCTCAAGCCAATGCTTCGGAGAGAGTAAATAGATCCGTTCTTGCTGCTATTAAAAGTTATGTTGACACGGATCAACGTAATTGGGATGAGAAATTAAGTAGTGTCTGCTGTGAGCTACGTTCTAGCCATCACTTGGCCAGTATTGGTCAGTATTTGTTTCCCACTGTCAACAAACAAAAAGAAAGGAAAATAGTTCTAAATTATTCTGAAGAATAATTCTGGCAAGATCTGATTTCCGGAAGATTTCCTCGAGACGGTCCAACAGCACGGACGTACAAACGTGATCACAGAAATATTGAGTCCCAAGAGAAGGCGGTCTGCCCTGAAGATTGGCTCGCATGAGACCAGCAGTTGACCCCGTTTGGAGTGCGCACTTCCAACAATGAGTCTATGGTGTCCCCTGTGCCGATAGAAGTAGCTGGCCAATTTTCCAAATATTTCCTTAATCGCCACCACTCCGCTGGCCTCCATAAAGCTGGAAGGCTTTCGCATCGTCCCCGATTGATGCCGACACCTGTCCCGCAGGCGCGTACCAGTTCCCAAGCGTCGATCGCCAGCGAAGAGCGGCCCCCTTGGAAGATCCACATCCCAGCAGCCGCGACTGGGATCCATGGCCATCATGCCCAACCGAGAACGGCATCAACAGTGACCCAGTGAAAAGTGGTTATTCATCCATGGCCCTGTAGCTAATTGTGATCCCATGCCAATCTCCAGCTGGAGCCAGACCCGAACGGTTGTTTTGTTGTACAGTGTGCGGTTTTTACAATTGTTTTAATACCCGTACTCAAAAAGAGTTAAGGGGTATATTAGATTTGTGGTAAAATTGGATGTGTACAACGCAGAGAAAGAAACGTTTCCGACCACATAAAGTATATATATTCTTGATCAGCATCAATAGCCGAGTCGATATAGCCATGTCCGTCTGTCCGTCATGATGAGCGCCTAGATTTCAGATACTATAAGAGCTAGAGCAACCATGCTCCCACCCTTAAACTTATCAGCCTGCTATCGATATTTCTAAACAACGAATAAATATTGGGACGAAGCCGCTTTGCCCATCACTAGAAAGTATAACGAAGAGAGAAAAAAAAAAGAAAACGGCGGCACGACAACACAATTTAATAAATCTGACTTTATAGCTGTAGTGCAGGGCTCGGCACGGCCCTATCAAAGACAATATAAGTATAAGATGCGTAACGCCATACGAAATTTCTGCACACGAATTTTTGAGGCTGGCTCTAGAGCTGGCTCCAGGCTCTCTTGAAATTTTTTAGAGAGAGAGAGCGCTCTAGAGCCAGCCGCTCTCTTGTATGCATACAGCATACGAAGGCACACGAAGTTGGTTCTTTGCCGATGCGACAGCCGAGCCGAGTCGTCGCGACGACTGTATGTGTGCACA